TGGATGTCAGAAGAGACTCTGAAACTTGCTCTTGAATGTCAGGTAGTTAAAGCAAAAGGAAATAATGATGAAGTGAAAGAGCTAAACAAAAGATTTCAACGGGTGGCTAGAGATGACAAAGTAAAGTATTATGATGACATGTGCAAAGACCTGGAGATAGAAAACCAAAAGGGAAGAACGTGCTCGGCATTTGTCAAGCTGAAAGAACTGAAGAAAAAATTCAAGCCTTGAGTTGCAATAGTGAAGGATTCTATGGGGAAAATATTAAATGACACAGGAAGCATCAAAAGAAGATGGAAGGAATACACAGAGTCACTATACCAAAAAGAACTGGTCGATGTTCAGCCATTTCAGGAGGTAGCATATGATCAGGAACCAGTGGTACTGAAGGAAGAAGTCCAAGCTGCACTGAAGGCATTGGCAAAAACAAGGCTCTGGGAATTGATGGAATACCAATTGAGATGTTTCAACAATCAGATGCAGTGCTGAAAGTGTTCACTCGTCTATGCTAAGAAATTTGGAAGACAGCATCCTGGCCAACTGACTGGAAGAGATCCATATTTATGCCTATTCCCAAGAAAGGTGATCCAACCAAATGTGGAAATTATCAAACAATATCATTAATATCATATGCAAGCAAAATTTTGCTGAAGATCATTCAAAAGTGGCTGCAGCAGTATATTGACAGGGAACTGCCAGAAATTCAAGCCAGATTTAGAAGAGGACGTGGAACCAGGGATATCATTGCTGATGTCAGATGGATCCTGGCTGAAAGCAGAGAATACCAGAAAGATATTTACCTGTGTTTTATTGACTATGCAAAGGCATTCAACTATGTGGATCATAACAAATTATGGATAACATTGTGGAGATTGGGAATTCCGGAATACTTAATTGTGCTCATGAGGAATCTGTACATGGATCAATAGGCAGTCGTTCGAACAGAACAAGGGGATACTGCATGGTTTAAAGTCAGGAAAGGTGTGTGTCAGGGTTGTATCCTTTCACCTTACCTATTAATCTGTATGCTGAGCAAGTAATCCAATAAGCTGGACTATATGAAGAAGAATGGGGCATCAGGATTGGAGGAAGACTCATTAACACCTGTGTTATGCAGATGACACAACCTTGCTTGCTGAAAGTGAAGAGGACTTGAAGCACTTATTGATGAAGATCAAAGACCGCAGCCTTCAGTGTGGATTATACTTCAACATAAAGAAAACAAAAATTCTCAAAACTGAACCAATAAGCACCATCATGATAAACAGAGAAAAGATTGAAGTTGTCAAGGATTTCAGTTTACTTGGATCCACAGTCAACGCCCATGGAAGCAGCAGTCAAGAAATCAAAACACCTATTGCATTGGGCAAATCTGCTGCAAGAGATCTCTTTAAAGTGTTAAAAAGCAAAGATGTCACCTTGAGGACTAAGGTGTGCCTGACCCAAGCCATGGTGTTTTCAGTCACCTGATATGCATGCGAAGGTTGGACAATGAATAAGGAAGACTGAAGAAGAATTGATGCCTTTGAATTGTGGTGTTGGTGAAGAATATTGAATATACTATGGACTGCTAAAAGAACGAACAAATCTGTCTTGGAAGAAGTACAGCCAGAATGCTCCTTAGAAGCAAGGATGGTGAGACTGTGTCTTATATACTTTAGACATGTTGTCAGAACAGATCAGTCCCTGGAGAAGGACATCATGCTTGGTAAAGTAGAGGGTCAGTGAGAAAGAGGAAGACCCTCAATGAAATGGATTGACACAGTGGCTGCAACAATGGGCTCAAGCATAGCAACAATTATGAGGATGGCACTGGACTGGGCAGTGTTTCATTCTGTTGTGCATAGGGTCACTGTGAGTCGGAACCAACTCGATGGCACCTAACAACAACAACAACATTTTTACTCTATTTATCCAGCTCCCGTGTCTATTTTTCAGTTAGTTCCTAATTGTGGTGGGCAAAATGGGTTATTTATTGGGCCCCTCAAACTCCAACCAAGTCATAAATAATTATGATGTGACAGTAACATAGGTGGTTTATTAGACTGCATAGCATGGCTATGCTGCAGTAACAAACAAAATATAAAAATCTCAATAACTCAATCTCAGTAAACACAATAAAAGTTTTATTTTTCCCTCAGGCCACAGTCCAATGTGAGTTGGTTGCCCTTCTCTATCTTGTAGCTATGCCATCTAGAATATGGCTTCCAAGGTGACTACGACAGGGGAAGAGAGAGATGGAGGAGGCATACTAGCTCTTTGTCACCTGTCCATACTAGCCCTGGAAGTAATACACCCTTCTGCTGAAGTTGGACATAACTACTCACATGGCTCCAAACAACTGCAGAGGAGGCTGGGAAATGTAGAGGAATACAGGATACTTGCACAAACTGTCACTGCTACAAGTGGTGTAAAAGCAATCAGGGAAGGTTCAAAGGAGCACAATGGAGCAGAAAAGGGATTGAATGGCACCAAAAGTATATTTTGCCTATTTCATAGTTTTGTTCATATGCAAATTCAAATTGAAGCCGAAGAAAATTAGAACAAGTCCGCGAGAGCTAAAGTATGACCTTGAGTATATTCCACCTGAATTTAGAGACCATCTCAAGAAAATATTTGATGTGTTGAACACTAATAACCGAAGGCCAGATGAGTTGTGGGATGACATCAAGGACATCATACATGAAGAAAGCAAAAGGTCATTAAAAACATAAGAAAGAAAGAAAAGACCAAAATGGATATCAGAAGAAACTCTGAAACTTGCTCTTCAATGTAGAGTAGCTAAAGCAAACGGAAGAAACGATGAAGTAAAAGAGCTGAACAGATTTCAAAGGGTGGCTCGAAAGACAAAGTAAAGTATTATAATGAAATGTACAAAGACCTGGAATTAAAACACCAAAAGGGAAGAAGATGCTTGGCATTTCTCAAGCTGAAAGAACTGAAGAAAAAATTCAAGCCTTGAGTTGCAATATTGGGCAAAAAATTGAACAATACAGGAAGCATGAAAAGAAGATGGAAGGAATACGTGGAGTCACTGTAACAAAAAAAAAAATTATTTGATGTTCAGCCATTTCAGGAGGTAGCATAAGATCAAGAACAAATGGTACTGAAGAAGGAAGTCCAAGCTGCACTGAAGCCATTTGCAAAAAACAAGCCTTCAGGAATTGACAGAATACCAATTGAGATGTTTCAACAAATGGATGCTACAATGGAAGCGCTCACTTGTCTATGCCAAAAATTTGGAAGACAGCTACCTGGCTAACAGACTGAAAGAGAGCCATATTTGTCCCCATTCCAAAGAAAGGTGATCCAATTTCCAAAGGTGGAAATTATCAAACAATATCATTAATATCACACTCACGTAAAATTTTGCTGAAGATAATTAAAAAATGAGTGCACCAGTACAATGACAAGAAACTGCCAGAAATTCAAGCCGAATTCAGAAGAGGATGTGGAATGAGGGATATTACTGCTGCTGTCAGATGGATCTTGGCTGAAAGCAGAGAATACCAGAAAGATGTTTACCTGTGTTTTATTGACTGTGCTAAGGCATTTGATTGTATGGATCATAACAAATTACGGATAACATTGCAAAGAATGGGAATTCCAAGACGCTTAATTGTGCTCAGGAGGAACCTGTACGTAAACCTAGAGGCAGTCCTTCGAACAGAGCAAGGAGATATGTGTGGTTTAAAGTCAGGAAGGGCGTGCATCAGGGCTGTATCCTTTCACCATACTTATTCCATCTGTATGCTGAGCAAATAATCCAAGAACCTGGACTATATGAAGAAGAACGCGGCATCAGGATTGGAGAAAGACTCATTAACAACCTGCAATATGCAGATGACACAACCTTACTTGCTGAAAGTGAGGAGGACTTGAAGAACTTACTGATCAAGATCAAAGACTACAGCCTTCAGTATAGATTACACCTCAACATAAAGAAAACAAAAATCTTCACAGCTGGACCAATAAGCAACATCATAATAAATGGAGAAAAGATTGCAGTTGTCAAGGATTTCATTTTACTTGGATCCACAATCAACGCCCATGAAAGCAGCAATAACGAAATCAAAGGACATATTGCATTGGGCAAATCTGCTGCAACAGACCTCTTTAAAATGTTGAAAAGCAAAGAAGTCACCTTGAGGACTAAAGTGCCCCTGACCCAAGCCATGGTGTTTTCAGTAGTGACATATGCATGCAGAAGCTGGGAAACAGATAAGGAAGACTGAAGAATTGATGCATTTGAATTATGGTGTTGAGGAAGAATATTGAATATACATACCATGGACTGCCAGAGGAAGGAACATACAGCTAGAATGCTGCTTAGAAGAGTGGATAGCGAAACTTTATCTCATGTGCTTTGGATATATTATCAGCAGGGGCCAGTCCCTGAAGGACATCATGCTTGGTAAAGTAGAGGGTCAGCGAAAAATAGGAAGACCCTCAGTGAGATGGATTGACACAGTGACTGAAACAATCAGCTCAGACATAGCAATGATTGTGAGGATGATACAGGACTGAGCAGTGTTTCGTTCTGTTGTGCATGAGGTCGCAAAGAGTTGGAATTGACTCAATGGCACCTAACAACAACAGCATAGTTTTGACAAAGCCACATTTTGCCTGACTTTTATCTGTATGATGTCCTCAGAATCCAGTGTCACCTAGCCATCTTTGTGTGAATTAATATGCTTATTGAGAATTCTTCCCGTTTAGCAAGTGTGCATTTACTTGAGGTCTTCTGTAGACAATACACCCTTATTTTATGGAATATTTATTGTCTTGATTTTATTATATACTATGTTAATGATTCTAGGAGTACGAATTTTAGGCCCACAGTATTTTTAGCTACTCTGAGCCTTTCAGCACCCTTCAAATCACATAAAATATAGCATTGTTTATTTTTGCCTGGATGGAATTTGTTTGAATAGGAGTCATCTAATATAACCATATCTGCATAAGCATTCTCTTTGAATTAATGAGTTGATATTTGTTAGTTCTTTTTCTAGGAAAAGAATCCAGGATCTTGCTAAGCCTAAAAAACAGTGGGGAACCCCAGATAGGTAAGGCAATGTTATATGGTCTAGTTTGTGATGGTTGTATCCAGTTTGTTAAATAGATAAGTATTGTTCTTACGTGTCATTAAACCTGTATCCCAGGTGTATCCACCTCCCTGCTAAACTGACTGCACTGAACCAATACTGTTACCTTAGTTGAGTAGGCACACAGGAGGATAACCGTAGGTCAGTAGTTCGTATACTTGTCTGCACATTGGTCGCCTGGGGAGTGTTAAAAAACACTTATGCCTAGGTCCTATCTCCAGAAATTCTAATTTAATTGGTCTAGGGTGCAGCCTGGACTTTGGGAGTTTTAAAAGCTCCTCAGATAATTTTAATAGGCAGCAAATTTGGAGAGCCACTGCTCCAGGATGTGACTCTTGCGTCTATCCTCCAGGTCCAATTTTGCTGCCTCTAAAACCTGGTCCTGCTCTCTCTAAGCCTCTGCCTACAGCACACCCCTCCTGTGGGTCTCCAGCAGGCTAGGCCCTTGGCCCTCCCACCCTTGGTCATCGGACTCCCTTTTTTCTTCTTTTACTCCTGAATAAAGCCTAAATTTTTTAAAGTCTGTCTTTGAAGATTAAAAACATAACATACTTTAAACTCACTCTTTTTCGTGGATGGGTGTCAAGGAGCTGAGCTGAGCTGAGAAAGCCAAAGTGAGCTGCTAGGTGTTAGAGTAGCTGATTAAGACAAGGAGCCAAAATGAAAGTAACAGTCAAGCATTTAAGCACTTACTGTGATACTGTAATAAATAAGAGGTTAAACCCAGAGAGGACATAGACTCTCCCCGTTCCATATTTCCCCAGAAATGGTGCATGGTGCCCTGAGGGTCAGGTGGGTTAGTGCAGATATGAAGACCTGTCTCACTGTGGGGAGATTCCCAAACAAAAATCTTCTGCAGTTTTAAGGACAGGAGGAGAGGTGGAAGGCTAGTAGTGGAAAAGTACTGACTACTGTGTCAGAATAGGGACAAGTATCTTCAAGCTTCCTTCCCTTCCCTCTGATAAGGAGGTTTCAGCAGAGATGCCTGAGGAAGGCCACTGGAGGAAGGTCCCTGATAAAGAGGCCTCCTTATGGGCTAGGAGTGCAAATTTGTAAAAGAGCATGGCTGGGATGGAGGATCTGAGTCCTTGACTGAAACTCCCTTCGGAGATTGCAGTGCATTGACTGTGCACCATGCCTGGTTGGAGAGGGCAGCTTTTCTCTTGAGGCCTGCCAGGCAAAGCCTTTGTAATTGTCTATTACAGGCAATTGGTTAGGCCTGAAAAATCACACATAAATTTTTAGCCAGGAACAGGACTCCAGTGAGTACACACATATATAAATTGACGAAAGCCACACATTGATGAGAGGTGTGTTAACGAACATTGCTAAAACTGTCAATAATCTTGGAATACTACCCTCCCCATCCCATCCCTATTTGAAACTAGTAGAAAATTCAAGAAATGATTTGATAAGATAATTGAGTTCAGAAAAGTTAAGTAACTTACCCAAGTTCACCCAGCTTGCAGGTAACAAAATTTTGGTTTGAATCTACATCCATTGCCCACAAATCCTATTTATTTCTATTATATCACATTGCCACTTTTCGAAAGGAACAGATGGCATGGAGAACCAGAGACAGGAAGATTGACTAGAGGGTATTACAGTAATGTGGCAGATAAATAACAAAGGCCTGTCCTAAGACAAAGAGACTCTGGGTGGAGCAAATGGTTAAGCGCTGGCTACTAACCAAAAGGTTAGAAGTTCGAACCTACCTAGAGGTGCCTTGGAAGAAAGACCTGGCAATCTGCTTCCAAAAGATCACAGCGATGAAAACCTCAGGGAGTGCAGTTCTACTCTTAGACACATGGGGTTGCCATAATTCAGAATCGACTCCATAGCAGCTTTTCTTTTTCTTTTTGGTCCTAATGCATTATAGCCTTAAGGGTTAAAAGAAGGGGTAGAGCTAAGATGTAGATTGACATGACTTGGTGACAAATGAAACGTAAGAATCTGAGGGAAAAGCAAGAGTCAAATGTGATTTCTAGTTTCTGTCTTAAGAAATAAAGTAAAAATGCTATTGTAACTGCAAAAGGAAATATAAGAGGAGGAACAATTTGTGAAGAAGTTACATTTTATCATGGTGGCTGCTGAGACATCCAGAAATGGATTTCCAAATTTCCCCTTTGGAAATATGGGCTTAGTGCTTATGAGAAAAATACAACTTAGAAATACTGATTTGGGAATCATCGGTATTATTTAGTAATAATTGAAAAAAATCCTGAGGAGGATAGAACCCATGTGCATACACCATGTTTAAGTTGTGAAGAGAAGATACCTAAGCAAACAGAGTAGGTAGGAGAGATCCAGGGAAGAGGGGGGTCTCAGAAGCCGGGGAAGGAAAATATTAAAAGGAAAAGTGGATCTTACGAGAAAACATTCAAAAAATTTGTGTTTGCAAGACTGTGAAGAAAGACTAAAGATTCATTTAATTTTTGTCTTCAAGTAATAGAAAACATTTTAAAGATGAAAGTAAATGAATATTTGTTATTATAATCAAAGAAATTATAAGAATTTCAGAACAATAAAACCAAACCAGTTGCCATGGCTTCGACTCCAACTCATGGCGACCCCGTGTGTGTCAGAGTAGAACTGTGCTTCACAGAGTTTTCAGTGGCCGATTTTTTGGAATTATATTGCCAGGACTTTCTTCAGAAGCATCTCTGGGTGGGCTTGAACCTCCAACCTTTTGGTTAGCAGCCAAGTGTACTAACCATTCGCACCACCCAGGGACTCCTACAAGGCAATAAAACCCTGGAAATGGGCTGATAAAGGCTGTTTTGTGGTTTCTGACCCTGGGAATCTGTAAGAGACTACAGTTTTAGCTATTCAGAAAGGGGTGACTGATCACTGAACCCTCAAGGGTCCTCAAACTGTTCTATTATCCTAGAATTCTATGTATCAGACTTCGTAACATTTCATGGATGCATCAAGCAGGTATGGTATGGATAAGAACTTTAGTCTGGATCAAATCATAGATATGGACAATAAAAGGTTAAAATTTTATGTCCTTGATATTGCTAGCCATGGGATAGCTAAACAGAGGTGATTTTTATGCTAGTGCAATGCAGTGAAAAATTATCTGCATAATATATTTTTTAACATGCTGGTTAGTCTCCTCCCTTCATGATGAACTGTGCATCCACATTTTTCTGGACTGTAGAGTCTTTGTTTTTTTTCTTTTCATTGTGCTTTAAGTGAAAGTTTACAGCTCAAATTAATTTCTTATTCAAAAATTTCAACTGTGTAAACTTTCACCTGGAGCACAATAAAAAGAAAAAAAAAATTCAACTGTAGAGTCTTTGATCTTTCTCACTCCACTGATCCATTCCTTCTAACTTTCCTTGAGCCAAATATTCTGCCTTTTGTATAACCCCCAATGCTTTCAGTTCATACTGTTTCCTAGTTTTATGGCCCAAATTTTCAAGGAGCTAATAATCCCATGAGGGTTCAGTTTCTAGAAGGCTTTATTTAATTGTTATGTCTCAAGTAACTTTTCATTATTATTTGAAACAGGGAATGCAAAGCCAATATATATTCATCACCTTTGATTCCTAAACTCTGAACCTCTTAGCCTCTCTCCACCTCAGCTTTTATTTTTTACCACTTTCTAAAGACACTCCATTCACTCTTTTTGTTGTTACCAGTGATATTCTCCTGGCCAACTACTATTACTCTTTTTTTTTTTTTTTTTACAGTTTCCATCCTTTTTGATGTCTCAGTTTAGTTTTCTGTGGCTGCCATAACGAATTACCACGAACTTGGTAACTTAAAACAACAGAAATTTATTCTCTTACAGTTCTGGATCCTAGAAGTAAAAAATCAAGGTGTCAGTTGGGCCACATTCCCTTCTAAGGACTTAGAGGAAATCCCATCCTGGCCTCTTCCAGCTTCTAGTGGCCCCAGGTGTTCTTTGACTTTTGGCAGCAAAACTCCAATCTCTGCCTCCATCTTCTCGCTGTGTCTCTGTATTCAAAGTTCCCTCTCCTTTCTCGTATTAAGACAACAGTTACTGGCTTTAGAGCACACTCTAATCCAATATAACCTCGACTTTACTTTGATTACATTGGCAAAGACCCTATTTCCAAATAAGGTTACATTCACAGGTATGGAGGTGAGGACTTGAACGTATCTTTTTGGGGGACACAAGTCAATAGCTATCTTGTCTCAAGATCTCTCTATCTTTGACTTCCACTCAGGGATTCGAACCGGTTCATTTTAAAGCCCTGCTTCCGTTCCATGATGCTCTTACCTCTTACCCACTACTCTTTTTAAAAAAGTAATATTGTTTCTTCCCTGAAGGTTTGCATAGCAAATTAGGTTCCATTTGAGATTTTCTACACAAATTGTTCAGTTGACATTAATTAGATTTGTCACAATGTATCCACATTCTCTTTAATTGTACTCTGGTTCTGTTTCCAGTACTCTAGTTTCCCTGTCCCTTTATCTTCTCATCTTTGCTTTAGAGTAATTGGTGACCTCTCGGTCTCATATAGATGGTATTTTAATGGAGCACCATACTCACGAGTAATATCCTTAATTTTATGTGCCAATCTGTTATTTTGCTAAAAGGTGACTTCAAGGGATAGTTTTGGTTCAAGGTTTAAAGAGTGTCTCTGGGCAATAGTCTCAGGAAGTTCTCTAGTCTCAAGTGGTCCAGTAAGTCTGGACTTTTAAGAATTTGTGTTCTGTTCCACATTTTTCTCTCACTCTATAAGGATCCATGTAATGTGGCCCTGATCAGAACAGTTGGTAGTGGTAGCTGGGCACTGTCCAGTTCTTCTGGTCTCAGGGTAGATGAGGCTCTGGCTCATGTAGGCTATTAGCCCTGTAGACTAGTTTCTTCTCTGAGACTTTGGTTTCCTTCTTTCTCTTTTGCTCCTGACAAGTAGAGACCAATTGTTGTATCTTAGATGGCTGCTCACAAGCTTTTAAGACCCCAGATGCTACTCACCTAACTAGGATGTAGAACATGAACTTTGTGAACTACATTATGCCAGTTGACTGAGTTGTCCCATGAGACTAAAGTCCTAAGCTTTCAAACCCAGAAAACCAATCTCCCAAGGTGTTTGGTTATATCTGAGAAGTATCAGTAACTGTGTCCTCTGTGAATATATATACATTCACACACATATCTGTGCAGCATACACATATGGATACTTCTATCTGTGCACACATATGGACTCACTTGTACCTGCTCATACACATATATGCCTATACACCTACATATGTGACCATACACTCATTTTTTTGGTTATTGTTGGTGTTATTGCCAAATTATGTGTCATATTCTTTAGCACACGTATCCTTTTCTCTTGTGTGCTTCTTAGTGACATCATTTATGTTGGTCAAACTGTGCTCATTGCACCCCACCGCTCTTTAGAGAGCATATTTACTGTCTTTCCCATAACCATTCTCCCTACCCTGGTCCTTGTCAGGTGTCGCCTAAACCTCTGCCTTCTCTCTGTGGTCATTCTCTCCTTTCTAATCTCTGTTGCACATCACCATCAGGAGAATCCCCAGTTTTCACCATTTGTTCATTCATTCACCAAACCATTATTGAATGCCTATCGTATATAGCACTACACTATGTAAGGGGAAGTTTCCAAAAGATTAAGACATGATGCTCCCCTGGAAGAATATATAGTCTAGGCTGGAGAGGCAGATACTCTTTGTCAAAATTGTGGAGGGTCTTGTAAGCCACAGTAAGGAGTTTGATTTTCATTCTAAAAACAATAGAAACCTTCAGAGGGTCTTAATCTTAAACCCAGGTCACTTGATCAGATTTAGGTTTAGAAAGATCATCCTGGCAGCAATGTGGAGATGGTGGGGTTGGTACAAGAGAAATAGCAACAGGATGAGGAGAAATGGACAGATTTGAGAAATATTTAGGAAACAGAATGAGCAGAATGTAGGAGGTGGTGACATTAATTGATTAATATTTCTAGTAATGAGTCTGGCTGATACCTAAAGAGCAGAGAAGGAAAGATTATATCCAAAATATAGACAAAGTTAAAAACAAAACTGTGACCGTCTAAAGGGACAGACTCAATTAGTCGGCAGATTCAGTTATGAGGAAAATCAGTTTACTGAGGTACCATTTTCTTACTTCTTGACCAAGCCTTCAAAGTCTTCTTCCACCCTCTCCACCCATTCCAGCAATGTTAGTTAATCACTTCCAAGCATAACTTTCTGGTTCAGCCCAAACTTGTCTTGCTTAGACTTGATTATTCCCATCTTCCACCGTTACCCCCACATGGAATGTTGCTCATCTCAGTCTGTGCCTTTTACTTTCTTACATGAAGCCTTTTCATGTTAATCCTGCACTGATTTCTCCTCTTCTCTTCACCTTGTGCACAGTAGTCATACCTATTTCACAGAGCTGTTGAGATGATGAAATTAACTGAAGTCTGTAAAGTACTTAACACAGGGTTTGGTGGTGCAAACGGTTAACATGCTTGACTGCTAGCCAAAAAGTTGGACGTTTCAGTCCATCCAGAGGTACCTCAGAAGAAAGGCCTGGCAATCTACTTCTGAAAAATCAGCCATTGAAAATCCTGTGGGGTGGGGGTGGGGGTGGGGGGAAACAAGAAAAAAAAAAAAGAAAATCTTATGGAGCATAGTTCTACTCTGACACATATGGGGTCACCATGAGTTGGAGTCAACTTAATGGTAACTTGTTTAAGTATTCTACGAATGATAGCTATTAATATTATTCTGTTACTGTTTCATTTTCTGACTACCAGGTATGGGGTTTCACCCAAAGTGGGAACACAATACATATTGTTGGCATGCCCATTTTATGCCTACCTGGCTGAGAAATTACAATGTTGATTACATGATGGCAGAAACAGAACTATCTCTAACAGGTTCTGTTTTGGTCACCATGTTTTAAGACAGTAGATAAATCATTCTTATTTTAACTTCCATAAATGTTTTATCCATTCCTGATGCCTGAAGACTGTAAAATTCTGTAATTGAGATAGTTCTTGTGGAGAAGTAAAATTAGGATAGAAGCAATCAAGAGCCATTTCTAACATGTTCATTAGCAATGAATTTTTTTACCATTTTATTCTTCTGCTTTTTAACAGAATTCTGTTCTGGGGAAATCAAGATCCTATTCGTCCTATTTCCCAGAGTGCTTTGAAGGCTCAACTGACCAAAAGACTTGAGCACCTTGCTCAGCCCAAAAAAGTCTCCCGCCGATATGTACCTAACAGGTTAGAGTTTGTGTTATTGGGTTACTTTATTGGGAGTACAAAGGGCAAATGAACACAGAGACCAGCTCTTTTATCTAAAGGGCATAAATTGATCAATCTGTCATCAAATTTTATTGAGAATTAGGGATTCCATATCTGTTTTCAATCTGAGGCCACAGCAAAAATTTCCAGAGCAAGATCTAATACTTAACTATTACAGACTTGTAGTATCCCTTATTATAACATTTTGACTTACTAGTTTTCTGGTTTTTTAATAAAGTTAGAGTGTTAAGAAAACACCTCTTACCAGAAGAACTAGATGATGCCCGGCTACCAATACCAACCGCTCTGATTGGGATCACAGTAGAAGGTCCTGGACAGAGTGGGAGAAAAATGTAGAACAAAATTCAAATTCATGAAAAAAGACTGGTGGAACCCCCAAGACTATGGCCCTTAGACACCCTTCAAACCTGGAACTGAACCCACTCCCAGAGATCACCTTTCAGCTAAACAATAGACATACCTATAAAGTGAACAGTAACACTGATGAGGAATGTGCTTCTCAGAACAATCAACCATATGAGATCAAAAGGGCAGCGTTTGCCCAAAAACAAAGTTCAGAAAGCAGGAAGGGGCAGGAAAGATGGATGAATGGAAATGGGGAACTCAGGGAGGAAGTGGGTAGAGTGCTGTCACATCGAGGGGATTGCAAATAATGTCACAAAACAAAATGTGTATAAATTGTTGAATGGAAAACTAATTTGCTCTGTAAACTTTCACCCAAACCACAATAAAATGTTCAAAAGAAAATACCTCTTCAAGGAACTATCAAGGAATTCTACAGAAGGTATTATTTCTTTTTTAAAAATAATTTATTTTATATTTTTGGTGTTGTTAAAAATATATACAGCAAAACATGCACCAACTCAACAATTTCTACATGTACAATTCATTGACATTGATTACATTCAAGTTGTGCACTCATTCCCACCCTCCTTTTCCGAATTACTCTTCCACCATTAACGTAAACTCACTGCCCTCTAAGCTTTCTATCTAAACTTTCGAGCTGCTGTTGTCAGTTTGATCCCATATAGATAGTACCAAAACAAACGAAAAAACAACCTGTTGCTGTCAATTCGATTCCAACTCATAGCAACAGGGGCATATTACCCGGTAAGCAGAGTAAGCACAGGCTTTCTTGTGCTTACTTAAGGCGTAGTGACAAATTTGACATGGGTTTCACCACATCTTTGTGAAATTGTCAGGATTGTAAATTTGAAAAGAGGCTTTGATTCTGTATGAAGGTGCTTTGGCATTGGGAGAGAGACAGATGCCCTAGAAGCAGAAACTTTGATGTGAAAAACTGTGAAACTGTTCACCACAGATGATCTGGTAAACAAGGTAAGCACTGTGCTTACCTTGCCTAGTGGATAATCCGCCACTGCGTACTGATGCTATAGGACGGAGTAGAACTGTCCCATAGGGTATCCAAGACTGTAATTTTTACAGAAGCAGACTGCCACATCTTTCTCCCGTGGAGCGCCAGGTGAGTTTGAACTGCCGAATTTTCCGTTAGCAGCCGACTGCTTAACCACAGCACCACCAGGGCTCCTTCATATAGATAGTTGTTGTTGTTAGATGCTGTCGAGTCGGTTCGGACTCATACCAACCTTATGTACAACAGAACGAAACACTACCCAGTCCTGCATCATCCTCAAAATCATTGCTGTATTTGAACTCATTGTTGCAGCCACTGTGTCAGTTCATCTCATTGAAGGTCTTCCTGTTTTTTGCTGACCCTCTACCTTACAAGCATGATGTCCTTTTCCAGAGACTGGTTTCTCCTGATAACATGTCCAAAGTACATGAGACAAGATATCACCATCCTTGCTTCTAAGGAGCATTCTGGCTGTACTTCTTCCAAGACAGATTTGTTCGTTCTTCTGGAAGTTCGTGGTATACTCAATATTCTTCGCCAATACCCTAGTTCAGTTGCATCACTTCTTCTTTGGTCTTCTGTATTCATTGTCCAGCTTTTGCATGGATATGAGACTACTGAAATCACCATGGCTTGTGTCAAGTGCACCTTAGTCCTCAAAGTGACGTCTTTGCTTTTTAACACTTTAAAGAGGTCTTTTGCAGCAGGTTTGCCCAGTGCAATGCATCATTTGATTTCTTGATTGCTGCTTCCATGGGCATTGATTGTGGATCCAAGTAAAAGGAAATCCTTGGCAACTTCATTGTTTTCTGTGTTTATCATGATGTTGCTTATTGGTCTAGTTGTGAAGACTTTTTTTTTTCTTTGTGTTGAGGTGTAATTCATACTGAAGCTGTAGTCTTTTTTAAAAAAAATTGTGCTTTAGATGAAAGTTTACAGCTCAAGTTAATTTCTCATACCAAAATTTATACACATGTTGTTATGTGACATTAGTTGCAATGCCTGTAATGTGGCAGCACACTTCCCCTTTCTACCCTGGGTTTCTTGTGTCCGTTCAATCAGTTCCCGTCCCTTCCTGCCTTCTCATCCTGCCTCCGGACAGGAGCCGCCCATTTGGTCTCGTGTATTTGCTTGAACTAAGAAGCACACTCTTCACAAGTATTATTTTATGTTTTATAGTCCAGTCTAATCTTTGTCTGAAGAGTGGACTTCGGGAATGGTTTTAATTCTGGGTTAACAGAGTGTCCGGGGGCCGTGACTTCGGGGGTTCTTCCAGTCTCAGTCACAGCATTAAGTCTGGTCTTTTTATTTGAGTTCTGCTCCATACTTTTCTCCTGCTCCGTCAGGGACTCTTTGTTGTGTTCCCTGTCAGGACGATCATTGATGGTATTCAGGCACCATCTGGTTCTTCTCTTCTCAGGCTGATGGAATCTTTGGTTTATGTGACCCTTTTGTCTCTTGGGTTAATATTTTTCTTGTGTCGTTGGTGTTCTTCATTCTCCTTTGCTCCCAGTGGTTGGGACAAATTGATGCATCTTAGATGGCCACTGGCAAACTTTTAAGACCCCAGATGCCACTCACCAAAGTCGGATGCAGAACATTTTCTTAATAAACTTTGTTATGCCAGTTGACCTAGATGTCCCCTAAAACCATGGTCCCCAGACCCCCGCCCCAGCTACTCTGTCCCTCGAAGTGTTCGGTTGTGTTCAGGAACCTTCTTAGCTTTTGCTGTAGTACAGTTGTGCTGACTTCTTCTGTATTGTATGTTGTCCTTCCCTTTACCTAAGATGATTCTTGTCTACTATCTAGTTAGCGAATTCCCCTCTTCCTCCCTCCCCGTCCTCAAAACCATCAAAGAATGTTTTCATCTATGTTTAAGTCTTTTGTTGAGTTCTTATAATAGTGGTCTCATACAATATTTGTCCTTTTTAACGAACTAATTTCACTCAGCATAATGCCCTCCAGATTCATCCATGTCATGAGATATTTTGAGGATTCATCATTGTTGTTTATCGTTGCATAGTATTCCATTGTGTGTATTTACCATAATTTGTTTACCATTCATCTGTTGACAGGCACCTAGGTTGTTTCCATCTTCTTGCTATTGTGAACAGTGCTGCAAAGAACATAGGTGTGCATATATCTGTTCATGTGATGGCTCTTATTTCTCTAGGATATATTCCAAGGAGTGGGATTGCTGGATCCTATGGTACTTCTATTTCTAGTTTTTTAAGAAAGCACCAAATTGATTTCCAAAGTGATTGTACCATTTTACATTCCCACCAGCAGTGCATAAGTGTTCCAGTCTCTCCACAACCTCTCCAACATTTATTATTTTGTGTTTTTTGGATTAGTGCCCACCTTGTTGGGGTGAGATGGTATGTTAATTGTAGTTTTGATTTGAAGTTCTCTAATGGCTAATGATTGTGAGCATTTCCTCATGTATCTGTTAGCCTCCTGAATGTCTTCTTTGGTGAAGTGTCTGTTCATATCCTTTGCCCATTTTTTAATTGGGTTATTTGTCTTTTTGTTGTTGAGGTGTTACAGTATCTTGTAGATTTTAGAGATTAGACCCTGATCGGATACGCTGTAGCCAAAATTTTTTCCCAGTCTGTAGGTTCGCTTTTTACTCGTTCGGTGAAGTCTTTTGATGAGCATAAGTATTTGATTTTTAGGAGCTCCCAGTTATCTAATTTCTCTTCTGGTGTTTGTGCATTGTTAGTTATGGTTTGTATTCTGTTTCTGCCATGTATTAGGGCTCCTAGTGTTGTCCTTGTTTTTCTTCCATGATCTTTATCGTTTTAGATTTTATATTTAGGTCTTTGATCCATTTAGAGTTAGTTTTTTGTACATGGTATGAGGTTTGGGTCTTGTTTCATTTTTTTGCAAGTGGATATCCAATTATGCCAGCACCATTTGTTAAAGAGACTGTCCTTTCCCCATTTAATGGACTTTTGGCCTTTGTCAAATATCAGCTGCTCATAGGTAGATGAATTTACATCTGGGTTCTCAATTCTGTTCCATTGACCTATGTAACTGTTGAATCAGTACCAGGCTGTCGTGACTACCATGGCGTTATAATAGGTTTTAAAATCAGGTAGTGTGATGTCTTCCACTTTGTTCTTCTTCAGTGATGCTTTACTTATCCTGGGCCTCTTCCCTTTTCATATGAAGTTGGTGATTTGTTTTTCCATCTCATTAAAAAATGCCATTGGAATTTGGATCGGGATTGCATTGTATCTGTAGATCACTTTGGGTAGAATAGACATGTTCACAACATTGAGTCTTTCCATCCATGAGCATGGTATGTTTTTCCATTTATGTAGGTCTCTTTTGGTTTCTTGCAGTAGTGTCTTGTAGTTTTCTTTGTATAGGTCTTTTACATCTCTAGTTAGGTTTATTCCCAAGTTATTTTATCTTCTTGGGGACTTTTGTAAATGGTGTTGATTCGGTGATTTCCTCTTGGAAGTTCTGTTTGTTGGTGTAGAGGAATCCAACTTTTTTGTGTATGTTTATCTTGTATCATGATACTTTCCTGAAATCTTCTATTAGTTCCAGTAGTTTTCTTGTGGATTCTTTGGGGTTTTCTGTGTATAAGATCATATCATCTGCAAATAGGGATACTTTTACTTCTTCCTTAACAATTTGGATGGCCTTTATTTCTTTTTCTAGCCTAACTGCTCTGTCTAGGACCTCTAGCACAATGTTGAATAAGAGTGGTGATAAAGGGCATCCTGGTCTGGTTCCCGTTCTCAAGGGGAATGCTTTCACACTCTCTCCATTTAGGATGTTGTTGGCTGTTGGCTTTGTATAAATGCCCTTTATTATGTTGAGGAATTTCCCTTCTATTCCTATTTTGCTGAGAGTTTTTATCATGAATGGGCGCTGCTCTTTGTCAAATGTCTTTTCTGCATCAATTGATAAGATCATGTGGTTCTTGTCTTTTATTTATGTGCTGGATTACATTGATTGTTTTTTCTAATGTGGAGCGCTCCCTGCATACCTGGTATGAATCCTACTTGGTCATGATGAATTTTTTTTTTTTTGATATGTTGTTGAATTCTATTGGCTAGAATTTTTGTTGAGAATTTTTGCATCTATATTCATGAGGGATATTGGTCTGTAATTTTCTTTTTGGTGTGTGTGATATCTTTACCTGGCTTTGATGTCAGGGTTATGCTGGCTTCGTAGAATGAGTTTGGGAGTATTCCCTCTTTTTCTATGCTCTGAAATACCTTTAGTAGTAGTGGTGTGAACTCTTCTCTGAAAGTTTGGTAGAATTCTCCAGTGAAGCTGTCAGGGCCAGGGCTTTTTGTTGTTGTTGTTGGGAGTTGTTTTATTACCTCTTCAATCTCTTCTTTTGTTATAGGTTTTTATAGGTGTTCTACCTCTGTTTGTGTTAGTTTAGGTAGGTAGTGTGTTTCTAGAAATTTGTCCATTTCTTCTAGGTTTTCAAATTTGTTGGAGTACAATTTTCATAGTATTCTGTTATGATCCTTTTAATTTCAGTTGGTCTGTTGTGATATCATCCATCTCACTTCTTATTTGGGTTATTTGCTTCCATGCCAGCACCATTTGATAAAGAGACTGTCCCCATCTCTGTCTCTATATTTGTGCATTTAGTCTGTTTCCATTCATACCTAATTATTGATAGGTATGAGTTTAGTGCTGTCATTATGATTTTTTTTTTTTTGTGGTTTTGAGAGTTTCTTTTTTCCACTTATTTTTCTGTGCTGAGTCATTTTTCTTTATGTATTTTCTTTTCATCTTTTTCATTATTATTGATTTTGTATTTGCTGAGTCTTTATATTTTTCTTCTTTTTTATGTTGATGGGTAAATTTGTTAGTTTCCTTTGTGGTTATCTTAAAATTTACCTCTATTTTTCTAAGTTTAAACCAGTCTTTTATTTCTTTATATTGCCTTAACTTCCTCTCCATATGAAAGTTCTGTGACTACACTATTTAGTCCCTCTTTTTTGTTTTAATGCAATCAACATTTACATATTGATGTCTCTATTTCCCTATTTTCAGTGTTGTAGCTTTGACTTATTTTTGTGACTTCCCTATCTGAGTTGATACCTGATTGTTCTGTCGTGTTTTCTAGTCTTGAGTTGTTATCTGGTATTGTTGGTTCTCTAGCTGGAGGACTTCCTTTACTATTTCTTCTAATTTTGGTTTTGTTTTCACAGCTTCCATTACCTTCTGTTTATCTGGAAATGCCCTAATTTCGCCTTCTTATTTGAGAGACAGTTTTGCCAGATATATAATTCTTGGATGGCAATTTTTTTCCTTCAAGGCTTTATATATGTCAACCCATTGCCTTCTTCCTGCATGGTTTCTGCTGAGTAGTCTGAGCTTAGTCTTATTGACTCTCCTTTGTGGGTGACTTTCTTTTATCTGTAGTCACTCTTAAAATCTCTCCCATATCTTTGGTTTTGGCAAGTTTGATTGTAATACGTCTTGGTGACTTTGTTTTGAAATCTACCCTGTGTAGGTTTCAGTGAGCTTCTTGGATATATATCTTCTCATCTTTCATAATATCTTGGAAGTTTTCTGCCAGCAAATCTCCAACAATTCTCTCTGTATTTTCTGTTATCCTCCCCGATTCTGGTATTCCAATCACTTGTAGGTTATTCCTGTTGATAGAGTTCCACATAATTCTTAGGGTTTCTTCATTTTTTTAAATTCTTTTATCTGACTTTTCCTCCAATAAATTGGTGTCAAATGCTTTTTCTTCAATATCACAAATTCTGACTTCCATTGCCTTAATTCTGTTCCCATGACTTCCTATCAAGTTGTCTAATTCTGAAATTTTATTGTTAATCTTTTAGATTTCTTTTTACTGTCTCCCTATGGATTCTAGCAGCCTGTTAAATTTGTCATTCTGATCTGGTATAGTTTTCCTGAATTCTTCTATTGCTATGTCTGTGTGTCCCTTGGCTTGGTCTGAGTTTTGCATGATCTCCTTCTTGATCTCTTGAAGAGCTCTGTATATTAGTCTTTTGAATGCTATCTCCAGTAATTCCAAGATCTTCTCTTCCTCTGGAAGGTTTCCTGGTTCTTTGTTTTGGTCGGTTGCTGGAGCCATCTTGATCTGCTTCTTTATGTGATTTGATATTGACTGTTGTCTCTGAGCCATCAATAAGTTGTTATATTTACTTATTGTATGTTTTCTTACTGTGTCCTGGCTTTTTGTTTTGTTTTGTTCTGATATGCCCAAATAGGCTGGGTGTGTGATTTACGTTGGTTATTGGCATCTTTGAAGCTTTCATGTCCTGTCACCTGTTGGTTAGAGCTGCTAGTATGTGTGTGAGCCCAGGAGTCTGTTTACTTTTTTTGTGTGGATTCAGCTCAGGTGTCCAGGTCATCGGTCACTGAGTGCATGGCCCAGGCTCTCACCTACAGTCCTAGACGGGCAAGGCTATGCAGGAGTGATTGGAGAAGGCACAAGTATTTGACTGCAGTAGGGGACTTTGTACTGAGCAAGGTAGGGGTCTGATGGCTGCTCTTATTCTCTGGCCTGGAAGGGGAAGGAGGGGGGCCCCATTCATTTGCACAAATCTTTAGGTGTAATCTGAAAGTTTTAAAATAATAAAACTTACCTCAATGATTCAGGGAATTCCAAGGGTGATCTCTCAGGAAACAAGGGGAATTACCTACAGTCACATTCTTTGCATTAGATAAACTCTGATCTAGTTTATGGTTAACAATTGTCTTTGTCTCAGAAAGGGTGTTTGCAAAAACTTAATCACCGTGCAAAACCAGTTTGCAAAAATCTAGGCCTCAGGTACCTTATTATTAACAGCTGTAATTATCTCTAAAGCAATTAATTTCTCCTCATAGGAAAAATAGCTCAGCAGTAAAGAGGTAAACTATCATACCTGCTCCCCTAGGGCTGGAGAGCAAAGTTGGAAGATCCTGTAATAATTTGAATTCATGCTTATCTCATGCACTTCTTTTATCATCCACAATTTGCAGGTCTCTATATTACTACAGCTGTGGGAGAGAGTCTGTAATCTGGAAGATCCCTTCTCCTAGACTATTTAGCCAACCCTCCAAAAGGATCCAGAAGTTGGCACAGCCCAAGAGATGCAAGGAAGACTATCTAAGAAATAGGTAGGGCATCTTGAGAATTTCAATAGCCCAATTTGGCTAAATGTCACAATATTGTTTTCCTTTTTTTAGGGTGCACAATTTCATGAGCTAAAAGTCAATTTGTGTTTCAAAGCATCAGTTAACAAATAAAATAATTGTTGCAGTTGTACGTAATCAGAAGATCTTCGTCAATAATTATATTTAACTCAAATTGTGGTAAAGCTAAAATTGACACCAAACCTTACAATTGCAGCCAATTGGAAGGAAATATGCAAATGAACATCACAGGTTTTTGCAATTTCTAGAACTTGATGTTGCTCTCTTATGTCTCTGTGACTTTGCAGATGCTCTTTTTTTTGCTTTGAATGCTAAATTCCTCTTTGTCTTTAAAAAGAAAGCTTAGTCGATACCATCCGTACATGAATTGACATTGTAATGTGGTTGGTGGAAAAGCAAATTCAGAGTTAGGCTGTGTTATTGGAAGTATAGTATACAATTATGGGGGAGGTGATAGCTCCTCTGTATGCTGCATTAGCCACAACAATTAGGAGTGTCATGTCCATTTACAGATGTTATACCTTAAGAAACAAATAGTAAATTTGAGAGTATTCAGAAAGAGGTGAATGAGATGTTGAGGCTTCTGGAAACTATGTTATAAGGAAAACAGTTAAGAAAAATGACCTGTTTAACTTAGACAAAGGACCAGGGAAGCTGTGACAGCTGTATTCAGATGTTTACAGGGTTGACATCTGAAAGAGAAAGAGGAAGTAGATGTGAAGTTACTTGATATTGATCCTAGGACTAGAAGTAGAACAAGTAGTTTATAGGGCAGCAGATGTCAACCAAGTGTAGGAAAATCTTCCTGACTAGCTATACAGTAATAGGAACAATTATCTAGACAAGTGAGCCCCCATCTCTACCCCAGGCTCTGAAAGTGTTCAAGCAGAGGCTGAATTGATGGCTTTCCATGAATTTTAGGAAAAATTCCTGCATTCAGAGAGAGGTTAGACAGGACAACTTGGGTCTTTTATCTCAGAATCCAGTGAAAGGAGGCCCATTTCCTCCCACACAGTTTCTTCATTTGCTTATTCATCTATCAATTTATTCAACAAAATCTGCTAATTTGGTTACCACATACATATAAATTTGGTAATTATGTATCTATATTTATAAATAGAGGAATATTTCATTTATCTGTCATCACTTTTTGAGAGACCCGCATTTGACGTTTCATATACATGAAACCTGCTTGAGTGCTAAAGCTTTTGGTGTTTTTAAAAGTATGTTTCCCTGCTTAATAAACAATCTATTCTGCTACTGAAAATACACAAACCTTTTGTCATTGGCTCAAGATCTTTATTATAATATCAACTATTATATAATACTTTAATACAGAAAACCTCTCAGGAGGTATTTAAGTGCAAAGCACAGTCTCCTTAGGCTAGTCTGACTGTGTGCTTTCAAATTATGAGATATCGTCTTCTCATAGTTAACAGTCTCTAATTAGCCTTTTTGGAGCCCTGGTGGTGCAGTGATTAAGAGCTCGGCTGCTAACCATAAAGGTCAGGAGTTTGAATCCACCAGCCGCTCTTTGGAAACCCTATGGGGCCGTTCTACTCTGTCCTATAGTGTCACTATGAGTCGGAATCAACTTGATGGCAACAGGTTTGGTTTTTTTTTTGTAACCAGCTTTTTTTAAAAAAAAAATCTTCTATGCGTTAGAAACACATAACTAAACTTTTAGAGTTGTGTGGAGGAAAAAAGCAAATAAGTGCTTAGTGAAGACACAAAGGGCTTTCCAATGAATGTAACATATGAACTTGGACTATATGACATCTTCTTTAGCTGATCTGTGTCCCTATTTTTTTTTTTTTTTGGCCTACAGCTCTTGTTTGGAGATGTATTCTGGATGATTTTTTTTTTTACCTATAGGTAAAATATAGGTTCAGCATGCCTATGTCTGTAACTGTGCATATTAATTTCAAGAGTTGGTATTTCTCTCTACTCAGAAACCTTTCATTTGGTATTAGAAGATCATAGTAGAGGATTTAAGGTAGTTATTACTCATAGCTCTTTATTTTCTGAGTTTAGAAATAGATACAGAAATCAGTTAGGGATTAAAATAGAAACAATATTGCTGGTAGAGCTGGACTGGGCAATGCAGCTTGAATCTGTGACCACACTGTTCTTTCTAATACTTCTTCCCTGAATCGGATTGACACCCAGTCAGAGAGTGTTCAAATCTTGCCCCAATGAGTTCACCTATTATTTGTCAGCTGGAGCAGAGGAAAGAACTTGTGTATCCTGAGGGCAGGAGGCTCCAAAGGAGAGAAAGGCAGACTTCAGGGGAATGGTGACCTTCAGCTCCTTATCCCCAAACTATAGAGAAATATGGTTCAATGGGAATGAGGCTTTCATGTTTCCACCAATCAGATAAACCAGTTCTTCTTGAATAGAGAGGGATAGGTAAGGGGATAACAGAGGGGCTAAGAGGGCTACTCTAGTGGAATGACAGGAAAATATGAGGACATGAAAATTCTATTCTTTCAAATAATACCTTCAATAATGCAAACGGAAGGTTGGGACAATCCCATACTATATTACCACAGTTCTAACACAAGTTGCCCTTTCAGGCAAGTTCCCATGTCAATGTCTTGGACCATTTATATATCAATTTAAAAAGCTATTGGTAAGTTTTAAATATCTATTTTTTTCATACTGTTTTGAAAGTAGATATGAGGCTTCTGGGGCAGGGACAAATTATTTATTACTTAATTATAGCAGTAACTATGCCATTTCCCCCACATCTCAATTTCTCCTTCCAGGGCAACATGAGAACCAGATGTCACCTTACACATACCAGAGTCTGCACTGTAGGCAAAACCCGTTGCCACTGAGTCAATGCTGATTCTTAGTGACCCTACAGGACAGAGTGGAACTGCCGCATAGGGTTCCAGGGAGTAATGGTAGATTTGAACTGCTGACCTTTTGGTTAGCAGCCATAGCTCTTAACCCCTGCACCACCAGGGCCCTCAAAATAAGAATTTGGGAACTTACTTAGGAGAGGGACTGTTATCCTCTATCCTCTTCGAAGAGAGGGGAGAAACTTTTGCTTCCTAGTACAAAATAAATCTCTTTAGAAAGAGAAGGGGAAGGGTTTTGGTTTCTTAGCCTTTCGAATGTAAAGAAATGTCTGCAGTGGGGAGATAAGATAAAGAGCTCAGAGTTTGCTAGCTGGGATGTCTCTACTTCCTAGGTCTTATCTCCCCTTGAAATGTAAACAGTATCTTCAGGGAATTAAATCTCTCTGAGTGGTCTCTCACTATCTAATTACCTTTTAATTTCCAAGTCTTGTCTGTTGACTCAGGGTTCAGTAAAATTTACCCAGAAATCCCTAACCATGCAGAAACATAAAAATATTCACTCCCTCACAGCTATGTATCACTGGTTACTTAGAAACTGTGTCAAGCTTATGTGACATTCCAAACGTTCCAGCTAGTTTTGTATAAATAAAGAGTTCTTCTAAAATACAGTATCTCTAGGTCAAATACCATTTACATTCAAAACATGTGTCTGGGAAAGCCATAGCAATTAGGCTAACAAAATAAAACAAAGCAAAACAAAAAAGCAGATGATAGTGTTATGAAGAGGCTTTTTGAGAAGTCATCTAAATGGAATCATACAGAATGTGTTCTTTAATTTCTGAGTAGCATTCCATTGGATGTACCACAGTTTCTTTCTCCATTTATGCACTGAAAGACATTTGAGTTGTTTACAGTTTTTGGCAGTTATGAGTAGAGTTTCTGTAAGCATTCATGTATAGATTTTTATGTGACCATAGTGTTCATTTCTCTAGGGTAAATAGCCAGAAATGTGATTTTTAAGAAATTGCCAAACTCTTTTCAGAGTGATGGTACCATTTTTTATTTTAGCCTTGTGGCACAGTGGTTAAGAGCTTGGCTGCTAACCAAAAGGTCGGCAGTTCAAATCCACCAGCCGCTCCTTGGAAACCCTATAGGGCAGTTCTACTCTGTCCTGTAGGGTCGCTATGATGGAACTGACTTGATGGCAATGAGTTAATGGGTGTGTAATGCTATCTCATCATGATTTTAATTTGCATTTCCTTTACAGGTAATGATATTGGGCAAAGTTTTTTATGTGTATATTTTCAGTCTGTCAGTCTCTTTGGTGAAGTATTTATTGAATTCTTTTGCTCATTCTTTAATTATGTTACTTGTTATCTTGCTTTTGTTTTTTGACAGTTCTTTATGTATTTTGGGTATGAATACTCTGTCATTCGTGGGATTTGAAAATATTTTTCCCCAGTCTATGGCTTGTCTTATCATTCTCTTAGTAGCATATTTCACTATTTAATTTTTTAAAAGCTTTTAATTTTAAAGAAGTCCAATGAACAATTTTTTCCTTTTATGATCATGCTTTTGGTGCCTTGTTTAAGAATGCTTTATTTAACCCCAGGTCATAAAAAGCTTCTCCCATGTTTTCTTCTAAAAGTTTTAAGTTGATTTTTATATACAGTATAAGATTCAGGTCGATGTTATTATTATTATTATTGGCATATGGATATCCAATTGTTCTGGCTGCATTTGTTGAAAAGACTATACTTTCTCCATTGAATTGCTTTTGTTATTTGTTGAAAATCATTTGGCCATATTTGTGTGGGTCTATTTCTGGCCTCTACTCTGTTAAAATGAGCTATGTGATGTGTCTGTACCTTCAGAAATACCACACTGTCTTGATCAGTGTATCTTTATAAACCAAAACACCAAACTTGTTGCTGTTGAGTTGATTCTGACTCATAGCAACCCTATAGGACAGACAAAAACTGTCCCTTAGAGTTTCCAAGGAGTGGCAGGGGGATTCGAACTGCTGACCTTTTGGTTAGCAGCCAAGCTCAAGTATGATACTCCAACTTTATTATTCTTTTCAAAATTGTTCTGGGTATTCTAGTTTGATTGCCTTTCCATTTAAATTTTGAAATCAGCTTGTCAACATCTATAAAA